GGCCCGCTTCCGCTCCTGCCTCATTCAAATTGGAGCGCGCGTTTTGGCGCCACCCTTCAAATCCCTACGCCCAGCCGACCTCTTCTGAGGTTCCTGGAGGCGCTGTTCTGGATGCGCTACCTGGCGCCACTCGAGCGGTTACAAGGTTGGCTTTGTCCAGGTGGAAAGTTGGAAAGAGAACAAGGAAAGGAACCGGAAACATTTAATCTGAAGAAGGGAATAGGCGATCGCTGTCTTCGTTTCTTTTAAATATTTTTCATACGATAGACTTTACTTCATAACCTACATGTAAGATGAATGGATGATAATTAAAGTTGAAATTTAGTTCAGTAAAGCATTTTGGCTATCAGAACTCTAAAAAGTGAAGAGAGTGAATTCCAGAGCATCACTGGAAGTGTTCAAGTGGAAGTTGGGTAATTATTTGTTAAAATGACGCAAAAGGGATTCTTGTATTGGGTGGAAGTTTGGGATAGATGAATTTTTATTTATTTATTTATTTATTTTTGCCACTGTTCTGGGGCTCTAACTCAGGACCTAGCACATCCTACCACGAAGCCATATCCCCAGCCTTGGAACAGACGACTTTTAAGCTGTTAAAGGAAGTACCTGAATGAGGAAGTACCTGTTTATAGCTAAACCAACCTTGATAGAGCTGCCTCTGCCAGACGTGAATGCTCCTTGAGAGGTGTAGGATGGCTTGGACCTGAGAATACAAAGGACAGGGCTGGAACTTGACTAGCCTTTGGGAATACTGTATGTGGGACAACAACAACAAAAAACAAATAAAACCCAACCTTCATCTTATCATTGCTCTTAGCTCATTGTGTCATTTTAGAACAGTGGTGGCATAGGAGCAAAGAACAGTCTCTTCCTGAACTTGTAAACCAATATAATTTTGGCAACTGCAGAGATTTAGTCCAAATTGATGTTAGGTAGCAACTGGTTCTCCACGAACTGCATGGTGTGTTTTCTCTCCTCAGTAGACCCACACAGTCACTAGAATTCTATGATCCTACTCTGGAATTCCTCACTTTAGTTATACGACTGAACCAACTAAATAAAATAGCTTATGAGTTATGAGAATTATTATGAGATTATGAAACATCAGGAATCCTGTTACTGTCCAGTCTAGTTTCCAGTTAGCTGTTGGGAGTTTGCATTTATTGTTAGAAATTACTCAGTGCAGTGAAGTGGGTTTTTTTTCCCCATAATTTTGGAGTTATGTCTTATTTTATTTTGATATTTTACTGATATTTAATCCCCTCAATGTCTTATTTTCTTTTTACCTCAACTGTTGTATCTCAATTACAGTTCTGCCTCACAACTGAAATTATTTACTTCCTTGAGTGATTCTTTGAGAAATAGGTATTAATATGTCTCTTATAAAAAGTACTAACTATTGAGTTTTGTGGAAAGGAGTGATAATAGAAAACCTGCAAATTGAGTTTTGGCAGAAGGAACGGAGATGGACAGGGAAAAGAAAGGACTGGGTGTTAACTGTAGAGTTCAATTTGCCCACCAGAGGGAGCTATAGGACCTAGTGGGAATAGAGGCCAGAATAAAAATGTTTCATAAACTGTCTACAGGTGTCATTGCCTTTTTTTTTCTTAATATTTACTTTTTAGTTGTAGGTGGACACAATACCTTTATTTTATTTTTATGTGGTGCTGAGGATCAAACCCAGTGCCTCACGTGTGCTAGGTGAGTGCTCTACCACTGAGCCACAACCACAGCCTGTCATATTGCTTTTTAAATGGAGTAGTCTAATCTTAAAATTTATTGTTTAAATTGTGGATATGGAAAATTACAATTTTATAAAAGTTTCTTCCCTTTATAGAATAACATAGAGGATTTAGTACATTTGAAAGTACAAAAATTGTATTTTATTTGTATGCAGGCTTATTTGTCAGGATTTACTTGCTTATATATAAAAATATTTTCTTTAAGGCATTCCGTTCTAAATTTAAACTATCATACTTGTTTAATAAACTTATTGTGTAATTTATTCTCAGAGACCTGGTTGGTTAGAAAAAAACTGACATGATTTTAACTAAAAAAATTACAGTGTAAATAATTATTATAATTTGTAGTAATCACTTAGTTCAAAGACACATTTCTCTTCTTCTGGGTAGGTTTGCTCTTAAATTAATTAGACAAGGAACTTAGCTATTTACACCTTTCTGTAAAGTCTCCTAAGAGAAGGTTACTATAATGAGAAAAGTAGAAGGAAAGGAGAAGAGGAAACAAGGGGGAAAGGAGGAAGGGAAGATGAGGAAGAAGAAAAAAGGCAAATATAATTAGTAAGGAAGTACTTCCTGCTTCCAGAATCTTCCTAGTATTGAGACTTTATTATTGTTGAAATTGAAACTTTTCTTGAGGAAAGAAGAATTTAAACTGAACTTGGCCAATTTTAATTTATTTTTTTCAATTTGATTTATTTAAATTTCTTGTTTCTGAATGCAAAAAGAATATAATCAAAAGAAATGAGCCGGGCATGGTGATGCACACCTGTAATTCTAGAAATTTGGGAGGCTGAGGCAGAAGGATTTCAGGTTTGAGGCCAGTCTCAGCAAGGCCCTAAGCACCTTAGCAAGATCCTGTCTCAAAATAAAAAATAAAATAAGAGCTGGTGATGTAACTCAGTGGTTCCCTGGGTGCAATCCCCACTCCCCCCCACCAAAAGTATACATTAGTGATTTATTTTTATGCACATTTTTAGTCATTGCATATAAAGATGCTGTAAGGCTTAATTAGTATTTATAAGACATTTAGGAATATTCAACTTAAAGCATATGGAATATAGACATACTATTATTAAACATAATATTTTGTATTTGTATGTCAGTTTTTATGTGAGGCTTTCAATTTTTAGATTTATTTACTTCTTCAGTGTATGATTTCCAGTGCATTTCAGAGAAAATTGAGGAACAGGCAAATGTTCATAATGAGAGTATAATAAAAATAAGTTTCTGAAGACCTTAAAAGAGCATACTACAGGGATACTGCCACATCGATGTTCATAGCAGCACAATTCACAATAGCTAGACTGTGGAACCAACCCAGATGCCCTTCAATAGATGAATGGATAAAAAAATGTGGCATTTATACACAATGGAGTATTACTCTGCACTAAAAAATGACAAAATCATGGAATTTGCAGGGAAATGGATGGCATTAGAGCAGGTTATGCTAAGTGAAGCTAGCCAATCCCCCCAAAACAAATGCCAAATGTCTTCTTTGATATAATGAGAGCAACTGTGAACAGAGCAGGGAGGAAGAGCAGGAGGAAAAGATTAACATTAAACAGAGACATGAGGTGGGAGGGAAAGGGAGAGAAAAGGGAAATTGCATGGAAATGGAAGGAGACCCTCATTGTTATACAAAATTACATATAAGAGGTTGTGAGGGGAATGGGAAAAAAAAAACAAGGAGAGAAATGAATTACAGTAGATGGGGTAGAGAGAGAAGATGGGAGGGGAGGGGAAGGGGGATAGTAGAGGATAGGAAAGGTAGCAGAATACAACAGTTACTAATATGGCATTATGTAAAAATGTGGATGTGTAACCGATGTGATTCTGCAATCTGTATTTGGGGTAAAAATGGGAGTTCATAACCCACTTGAATCTAATGTATGAAATATGATATGTCAAGAGCTTTGTAATGTTTTGAACAACCAATAAAAAAAAAATAAGTTTCCCTTTACAATACCTAGTCATTTTGCTGCTTTTTTTTAGGTGGCACTAGGAATTGAACCCAGGACCTAGTGCATGCTAAGCATGCATTCCACCATTGAGCTACATCCCCAATCCTTCCAAAAATTTTATTTTGAGGCAGGGTCTGGATACGTTATTGGAATTTCAATACTCCTACCTCAGCTTTGCCAGTAGCTGAGATTATAGGCATGCACCACCATGTGCAGGGTTTTTGTAACATTTTTAAAGAACAATTTCAAATATGCAGAAAATATGAAAGAACCAAATATTTGTATATGTTGTCTTTAATTATGGATAACACATTTAATTATATTTTGTCCAGGGCTAAGGCCTTAGAGGGTATAGTTATTAAATCAATTAGACACAAAGGTTTTATAAGCAATTCATGTTGAATATGAAAATATTCCACTTGTTGCCTTAGGAGTTTAGAATGTTGCATAGTATCTTTCTGTGGCTTTGGAAAAAAAAAATCATGGAAGACAAAATGTCCATTCTGTCTGGTAATATTTAAGATCCATGACAAGAATAGAGGAGAGGAGGGAGAATGAACGGAAATTAATATTTATTGCTAACTTATTGTTCCAAGAATAGCACTAGTTATCCTTGCATACCTTATCACATTTAATCCATGAGACTACCCTTTGAGGTATCATTATCTCAGTTTTATGCGTAAGGAAACAGGCTCAGAGAAGTCCAGTAACTTGTCTAAATATGTGAATTCAATTTGAATTCAAAGCTTAAGCTCTTGGCACTACACCTGAACGCGTTCTTTTAAATATCTTTTCTGGGCTCAGAATAAGTGTCATGTTGAAAATATTTATGTAATACATGTATTGCCTTATGTGTATGGATGCTTCTCTTCCTCACTCACATTCCTATTTACTGTGATTAGTACATGTTAATAAAACTCTAGATTTAGAACCTCAACATGGAATCAAATCTTTCAGGGAGTATTTATTGCACTTATTGTGTAATTTATTCCACTCCCAAAGTAAGATTAGTTAGTAGTCATAACAAGAATAAACTACGACTCCCAAAATGCCTAGAGGGAGACGCTGACGCACGTCGGGGAAACGATTCCAGCTTTAGGGCAAAGGTGACCTCGCTGGGTCCCCTGGCGAAGAAGGGAAACAGCCGGTCCTCGCTTTTATTTCTGATGCATCCAGGGATATGTAGTTCCCCTTCGGGGAAGGGGTGCCCTCAGGGCACGTCTCCTACTACAACTCCCGTGATGACCCGAGGCCAGGGCAGCGCCTGCGTGTTGAAGCCGAGCGAGCGCGCGGGCGGTGCTAGTGGCGGGAGGAGTAAAGATGGCGGTGCTGTGGTCTCCGCCTTCTGCTCCCGGGTGAAGCGCTCTGAGGGAGGCGGCAGCGGCAACCCAAGCTGCACCAACAGTCTTGTGGTGGTAGTTTCGGCAGCACCTGTCCAGGCCGGAGCCATGGCGGAGCTGGAGCACCTGGGCGGGAAGCGGGCAGAGTCGGCGCGAATGCGGCGGGCTGAGCAGCTGCGGCGCTGGCGGGGCTCGCTGACAGAGCAGGAGCCGGCGGAGCGACGAAGCACGGGGCGGCAGCCACAGACTAGGCGCGGGAGCCCCAAGGTCCGCTTCGAAGACGGCGCTGTGTTTCTGGCTGCCTGCTCTAGCGGGGACACGGACGAGGTGAAAAAGCTTCTGACGAGAGGTGCGGACATCAACACCGTCAACGTGGACGGCTTGACAGCCCTGCACCAGGTAACTCCCTTTTCGGTCATATAGGCGTCCAGTCTCCTACGGACGAGCCCTTAGCCCTGTGATTCGCCTCGTGGAGAGTATTAGTGTCACCTCCGAGACCTCCTGTATGGACACTGCCTCTCTGGCCAACTCACTTTCATTATTGGTCACCTTCCTCCACTAATCAAGTCTTTTTCCTACCTCAGGGTCCCTACCTGAAGGAATTTTGTCACCCTGATGTTTGGTCAGTGTTTGTATTTCCCTCCCTCCAACTTGGGTTGTCATGGTTACTGGTGATTTGGTCCATAGTGTTATCCCTATAGATTAGTCGTCTTCCCTTCTATCTTGTTGGTGTGCCCACAAACAGTGTCACTTATATGCATAGTTAGTATCATTGTGTGATGCTCTTGCAGATAATTCAGTTTTGTGTTTGTGTGGCCCCATTATCCAATATCCTAGGTCCCTTAAAGAGTAAATTCTTAGACTGGGTTAAGGCAAGCAGATCTTCTGAAACCACACCTTGTTTGGCTGATTTGCAGTGCTTAAAAAACAGTTTGTATCTTCTCCAGGCTATAGCTCCTAGAACACCCTTGACCTCATTGTTATGGGTGTCATATTTTCTTCCCAGCAATGCTACTTCCCTCAGGTTTCATGTGGAGAACTAAGCTAAGGAAGCCCTTCTGTTTGATACTTATAAAATAGACTTTCGAGTTTTTTCCTAAAGCCTCTAGAAACGTGTGTGTGTGTGTGTGTGTGTGTGTGTGTGTATTTTTATGATTGTAGATGACCTGACAGTTCTATAGTTGGTAATAACACTTTTGTTTCTCTCACTTATGCAACAATATTCTCTATATACCTGCTGTTATAACTAACTCCACCCTCTTTCCCCAAGTGAACTTTATCAGTTATTTTGGTGACTGAGAGCTGGACACCCACTCTTAATCTTCCTTATTTTTCTCTTGCTGTCTGTGCAAAGTGAATGTGTTTGCATGAGAATCCACTTCTAAATAATAATTCAAGCTGGGCATGGTGGTGCACTCCTGTAATCCCAGCCATTCTGGAGGCTGAGGCAGGAGAACCATAAGTCAGAGGGCAGCCAACTTTAGCGGAAACCTGTCTCAAAATAAAATAAAAAGGGCAGGGGATATAGCTCAGTGGTAAAATGTTTGCCTAGCATGTGTGAGGCCTTGGGTTTAATCTCTAGTACTTAAAAAAAATGCAAAAACAAACCAGAAAACAAGGCTTTATGTCAAACCACTTCCCTAAATACATATGGCCAATGGCTTAAAATTGCTCCTTGCTGTTTTTGAAGCCCTTCTCTTTAAGGTAATTATCATCCTATTTTTAATCCATTTTTTTTCTGCCTCCAACAGTGGTGCACCTCAGCAGCCAATATTTGTATATTGCTTTGAGGTTTAAATGATTTCATAAGGCCAACCTCATGTGAACCTCAGTAGAGACTCTCTGAATTAGATGTGGCAAGTAAGTTGTTAGTCCCATTTTCCAGATAAGGAAATTGAAGTCCAGAATAATTGTTACTAGTGCAAGTTAGAAAAGAGAAAATTGCTTGCAGGTATGGATTTTTCAGATTTAAATTGCAGAGCTCTATATACCACTGAATAAGGCACTGGGTATAAAATAAGATAGATCCTAAGTTAAATTTTAAACTTCAAATTTCTGAGGTTAATTTTGGAAAGGTTAATTCTTATTTTTCGAATGTATCCGTGATGTGAAGGAGATTGAGATCTGGATTCTGGAAATAATTTTATGGGTTCTAGAGGATAGAAAAATGAAATCTGGCTTTCTAATCCTTTTTTGAACCACCTTTCTATTGAACCACCCTTCTTTTTAGTGTAACTCAGTAATCTGTTTCTTTTAAAGTGATTGTGCTAGCTAGCTAAGTCTGGTTCTTCCTATACTCATTTTAATATCATTCTGAGTAAAGCATTTTCTTTGAGGTCACTCATGGTAGATCTTACCATTTCAGATTTTTCTGAGCCCTTCTACTGAGACTGAGTACCTTGGTGCCTTTCCTTCTCTCTTTCATTACCACTCCCAACTGTGAAGTGCAACATCTCGGTATGCGTTTCACATTTAATCAATCTCCACGCCCCCCCCCCCCCCCCCCCCCCCCCCCCCCCCCCCCCCCAGCCCCTTCATGCAGTACCAAGGACTGAATCCAGGGGTATACTGCCACTGACCTGAACCCCCAGCCCTTTTTATTTTTTATTTTGAGACAGGGTCTTGCTAAGTTACCCAGGCTGGCCTTGAACTTGTGGTTGTCCTGCCTCAGAGTCCCGAGTCACTGGATTACAGGTGTGTACCACTGCACCCAGCAGTAATTTCTTGAAATAGAAGAGGAAAGGGATGACAACTGTAGGATTTTTCTTTTTAACTACCTGCAAATGCATTATAGACATTTCTTCACATCTGCAGGACTGGTAGTGAGTTGAACTGAATACGTATATTCAATACCAGATGAATTCAGCTAAAAATTAATATACTCAAAGATTTAAGGTCAAAGCAATCTTCTGTTGAAAAACCATCTTTTTGAATCAAGACAAGCCTCCATTAGCTTGGAAATTTTGACAAATCATTTTACAAAGAGTTGCAATATGTTTTAGCATAATCTGAAGAACTTTTAAAGTACATAAAAGATGATTTTCAGAACATAAGAATGGAGCTGTGGGGGGCAGGGAGGCTGGAGTTGTGGCTCAGCGGTAGAGCGCTCGCCTAGCATGTGGGAGGCCCTGAGTTTGAACCTCAGCACCACATAAAAATAAATAAACAAAATAAAGGTATTGTGTCCAACTATAACTAAAAAACCCCAAAAAACAAAGAGTGGAGCTGCCAGTCTGAGCCACCTACCTTACTACTGATTCACCTCTGCAACATTGAGAGTGAGTAGTAAAAAACGTCTGAATTATTTAGTTAAAATATCTGCCTGTTATATAAACATGGTGTGCATTATCTGGATAATTGATTCCTTTCTTTCCTTTGTTTTGGCCATGGTCACTTGACCAACTGTGAATTGTCATCTTGGAAGAAACCCCCATGTAATATTGGGGGATGATTTTTCTCCTTTTCTACAAGGAAACAGTAGACAATTTGTTCTTACTGCAGCTGTGATGCTACTTTTGACTTAAAAGACCTTTCTTTCTTGGCAGCCTTTGCTGAGACCACGAGGTGCTTGAGTCAAAGATAACAAGGTCCAGGAGGCCTATTAATAATACTTGAAATAGGTGGGGATAAGAACTATCTCAAAAGTTAGACCAACTCTGAAGAAAGCGTTGGAAACTGAGGAAGACTAACTACATTTTGGGGAATAAATAAATTAAGATTTGGTATGTTTGATAGGTATTAATCTGATTGTATATACCTTGAAAACACTTATTTTCCCTCACAAAGAAATATCCATTTTATTTGTGTAAACACATTACAAAGAAGAAAAGTATATGCTGATAATTTCATGTGAACTGGTACTTTAAAATTTTATTTATTTAGTAAGGTTGATATCTTGATATCTTAGCATTAAAGTCTTGGGTGCTCTAGGCCTACACAGAGACTTTTAGGAATTATATCTACCAAATCATTGGGTTGTTGTAAAAGGCGAGTGCTTGCTTTCAGAAAGGAGATTTTCTTAAATTCATTAAAATGATTGCCTGCTTATTCTTTCAGCATATATTAGATTGGCACTTTTATCTGTGCTGGGTGTGGTGAGGGATTCTGATGTCAGTTCACATAGATCTTGTCACCAGCCCAGTCTGACCAGTCTTCGTTTAGAGGGATACCACGGAGGTTAGAATGATTCTATACTTAGAAATTAACGTTGGCTTTGTAGTGGTCTCAGGGTCCAAGTTTTGACCTGCAGGGTCACTCCAGGCTGGAATTCAATTCATAGTAGCCTCTCTCATTTAGAGCTACCTCAATCTGACCTTGTAGTCTCAGGGAGGTTAAATTACATATTTCTCTGGAAGAGAGGTAGAGCTAGAAGCAGATGAAGAGAGGAGAATAGACAGAGCCATTTATATTCAGAATGAGACAGAAGATGAAGATGACAGTGTGCTGAGTTCAATGTCAAATAGTATGCTATGTATGTTAACTTGTGTAAAAATGAAATTTGTCTTCTATTCCTTTCTCTTTTATTCCTAACTCATTATTTATTCTTATAATTTTATCTGTAAAGTGACTTTTGCCTTACCCTGAGTATTGATTTATTTTGCTTAGTGTCAGGACCCATGGCAATATGGGATTCAGAAAATCCTCTTGGCTCCTTCATTATTGTGCATCTACAACAGTTATTCATCATCAGTTATTGTAGTAGCTTACCTCTTCAGATTGGTTGATACGATGCATCAGACTGTGTTGGGCCCCTGGCCCCTTGCTGTGTTTTAGTTCAAGTTCCCATGTCATAATAGACTTCAAAGCAAGATTTAGATATTAGGTTCTCCTGGATTTTTTTTTTAAGTACAGTTGCAAATGAAATTCATGTGTTCCCTAGGTAAAGTTTTCTTCCCCATTCTTAAAGTCCTATCAAGTAACTATATATTGCAATTTGAGTTTTTAGAATATTCTTTGTGTTTTGAAATAGGCAGCTGTCCATGTATGTAGAGTAAGCATAATTCTGCTGAAGGTAAGGGGTTGGACAGGTCTTGTTGGTAACTTAAAATTGTCATTATTTATTTTCATTTAAAAATTTTTAAAATTAAGATATACTTTATATGTGGTAAAGTTCACCCTTTTTATTATGAGTTTCATGAGTTTGTAACTTCTACTATACAAGATGTATAACTTTACCATTACTCTCACAATTTCTTTGTGCTCCTCTGTAGCCAACCCCATCTCCTACCCAAACCCATGGCAGCCATTCAAAAATTTTCTACCCTTGTCATCACAATGCCTTGTAGATCGAATTTGAATCTGTCTGCTTTCCTTTGCTGTGTTGTATTGAGACTCATCTGTGTTGTTAACAATAGATAGTTGGTCTTTGCTGTTGAGTGATATTCTACCATATGGGTGTA